TGGTAGCTATCCTATAGAAACATACGTTTAGGTGGCTATTGATAAGCAGATACTTATTTCTCACAGTTCTAGAGGTCCAAGATCAAGGAGCAGCACTGGCAAGTTTGGGTTTGAGCCTCCCTCATTCTCAGATGCTGTCACCCCACTCTGTCCTATCTTGGGGCACGTGCACAGCAAGGTCACCCACTCATGAGAGCCCCACCCTGGGAGGCTCACAGACATTCAGACCACAGCAACCCCTGTGTCCTCTGTACCCCTCTGCTCCCCCCTCCTCGTTCACTCCCTCACCCCCTCTCCTTTCTTTCTCCTTGACAGGCCTGGTCTTTGCTCTGACTCCCTCTAGATGATTGACTTTCCACTATTGGCCCCATCTAACAAAGAAGCAAAAATATCCCCCATTATCTCGACTACTAGATAATAAGCTGTCTAATCCAGGAAGAGTGCGATTACCATGGTAATTTGTCAGCACATGGAATTTTCTGTGCAGTCTCATCTGGCTGCGTTGGTACCGCCTGCTTTGAGAGATTGCCCGGGCTGTCGCACTGCTGTCTTGCTCTGGGGGGAATGGTGTGCCCAGGGTGCCTACTGGTGTGATTTCTGAAGACATTCTTGATCCTTCCTGCATATGCTGCATCAACAAGCACCCTCCCCACTCACACATACACCATGAAAGTCAGGATACCAATCTTTTTCTGAGGCTGAATAATTTTCATGAGAGGATAGCTATTTTCACAGACCACACAGTTAAATAGCACAGAATCTCTATACTCCAAGTTTTATCAGCAGAGAAGAATGCACTAGACTAGTGAACAAAGCCATATCTTTCTTGGAGGATTGCCTCATGAATATGTGTTCTTCTTGTTGCTCTAACTTTTCCCCTTATACACTTAGTCAATGCACTAGAAAACTGCATTTCAGACATGTGGCTATGCCCCCTCACAGAATTGCTTTTCCTTGGTGGGAGTTCATGGGCTTCCTTGAGGCTCTGCAAAAATAGCCAGA